GCCAAATATAACATGAAGGATTCTAGGAAAATATTTTGGTTTGATAGCTGCACAGATGGTTGTTGTATGGTTGTTGATGAGAAAAGAGAGAATAGGGATGAGAACAGAGAAGGAAAAAGAAATAAAACAGTAGAATAGTAGAATATTAGAGAAAGAAAGCACAATAATCTTTTTGTTATATCAGTGAATATTATTGTGCTTTTTTATATCAAATCTTGTGTGAAGCCCACACCCTCAAATTACAGTGTTCAGAATACTGTTAAACTTTCCTTGATTGGATTTGCATAATATTTCTAGGTTGGTTGTTTCCTGGAACAGGTTTATTAGGATTACATGTGTCATTTGAGATGACATATATTCATGTATGCTTGGAGAATAATCTTTCCCTATGGATGGTATATTTACTTGGGTTGTGTGGCACTTTGCATACCCTAGCAAAAAATGGGTTCAGAATATGCAGGATATGAATGTAATAACTTTCTGAAATTCTTTAAGCTGAATATATCTTTTACCTGGGATTATGCAGCTTGAAGGAATGGCTGGTTTAAAGTTGCCAAGGTTGAGAAACTGTGGACCACTTTTTCCCCTTTGCATTCCAAGCATTGCCTAGTTTTCACATTACTGCTGTGGGCTGGCAATTTTGGGAGCTGTAGGCTAACACACAGATAGTCCTTGACTTACAACAGTTCGTTTAGTGACCGTTCAAAGTTACAACTTTTCACACTTAGACTGTTGAAGCATTCCTGTGGTCACGTGATCAAAATTCAGATGCTTGGCAACTGACTCCTATTTATGATGGTTGCAGTGTCCAGGGTCATTTTGATCCCTTTTTGCGACCCTCTGACAAGCAAAGTCAATGGGGAAGCCAGCTTCACTTAACAACCATGTTACTAATTTAACAATTGCAGTGATTCATTTAACAAATGTGGCAAAAAAGTCGTAAAATGGGGCAAAACTCACTTAACAAATTCCTGACTTAGCAACATAATTTTTGGGCTCAATTGTGGTCATAAATTGAGGACTACCTGTACATGGAAAATACCAGTTTAGATGAATATAGTAAATGAAAACTCAACTTTAGATCTTTGCTCCTCTTGCCCTTTTACTGTACTTATTACCGCTACCTTCTTTAACATACTCATTAAGGTAAAAGTTGCTCAACATCACTGATTATTTACTACTATAACTGTTCCTAATCTATTAGGTCAGGGGTGTCAAACTGCCGGCCCACGGGCCGGTTGCATCATGAGGCTGCGCCCACCCCAGCTCCAGCTATGCAAAAAAAGTTGCGATAACATCGCCACACGTCACATGATGTGATGGGTTTGACACCCATGCATTAGATTAACTGTGTTCAGTAGAACTGTTCACGCAAAGTAGCTCTTGATAATTGAAAAGAGCTGTAGCAGTCCTGATCCATATCTGTGTAAATAAATTGTTTGGCACATTGCCATTTATAAAGAGCACTAAACTGCTTCTGAAATTCAAAGTACAGGAGTACTGATAAGTGCAACTGTTGAAGGGGAAGTTTTCAGTTCAAACACTTAAGTGTGGCACTAAAGGAAAAAAATAAACTGATTCCTTGTTCCTTGTAAGGATGTCTCAATGGTTTGTAGCCTTGAAAGAGACTTTAGCCAGGAAGCAATGGAGCCAGAGTGTGGACAAACCTGATTTCCATTGTTCAGTCTGTGATTGATCAGTTGTCCAGGGGAGCCAGTGACAAATCTGTTAGGGCTAAGTGCTCTCAAATGGACACCCTTGGTAGCTTCTCAAGCACACCTGGAGGCAGATGGGAAAATGCTACCGTTCAGCTTTAATTGTGCAATATAGTCTTATCTGTTGAATATGAGGCCCTAAACATCTAAAGGAAATAGCCATTTTGAAGACTGTTAAAAGGAAAAAAAAGGATGATCCCCTATTGCAGGGCTGTCAAACTGCCGGTCCGCAGGCCGGTTGCATCATACAGAGGCCGCGCCCACCCCAGCTCCGGCAATGCCAAAAAAGTCGCGATACATCACGTGACGCGGCGAGTTTGACACCTGTGCCCTATTGCATGTTGGCTATTTCCTCATCATATAATTATAGGAATATGTTTCCAGGTGTAATTCACTGTAGTTGTGAATGTCTTTAAGGCTCTAAATAGATTAGCTTTATCTTGACTGAACCAGAGGAGAGGGAAGTTTTCCCAGCCATGGCTTTAAAACATTTTGGTAATATCTACCACTCATCTTTCAGGAAACATTTGCAAAGAAATGAAGAAGTTAATATGTGCACCTAAGGGGGAAAAGATGTAAAAAAAAAGCGCACAAAAATATGAAAGTATAAACATTTGCTCCCAAATCTGTCAGTAGGGTTGGTGCTTATCTTTGCGTGGCACCAGAAGCACAGAAAACAAGGCAGACTTTACTTTGTTGAGTCAGATTGGTTTGGTTTTGCTCTTCAAATGTTATTTATTTTGGAGGTTTGTAATATTATTGTATATAACTATAGGGATTCCTCAATTTTACAGAAAGCACCCATTCCAAGGCTGTTTTAATGCCGAACAGTCACTAAATAACTGATCATAAGTCAAGGGCTACCTGTAAATAGTTATTTCTGAAAATTCTTATTTTAGAATCAGAATTGCGAAGTATTCTGGAGGCCTATAAAATGGAATAATATGCCATAGCAGCTCTTGGAAAACAGCTACCAAATTAGCATCAGATAAGCCAGTGCCTCTATGCTGCTGACAAATAAGTTCTAATATTTCACTGCTTTCCTATTGCATTAAAGGGCAGGTTTGTGCCATCGTGGTGACAGCCACTTGAATTTTAAAGCTATCCTCATGTCTTTCTTTTATCTTTTGCTAAATATGCCCTGTTTTTTCTAATGTTCCTGAAAAACCCAGATGATATTTAGCTCAGAGAAGGAGAAAGATTATACTTTCATTTAAAGTGGACTAAGGTAGGGGTCCCCAGCCCCAGGTCTGTGGACCGGTACCGGGCTGCAGCATGCCAACAAACAAGCAAGGCCCCATCCACGCGATACAGGCAGCACACAAAACCACCCCTCCTCCGGTCCACAGAAAAACCTCTCTCCACGTAACCGGCCCCTGGTGCCCCAAAGGTTGGGGATCTCTGGACTAAGGTACAGGTAGTCCTTGACGTACGACCACAATTGAGCCCAAACTTTCTGTTGCTAAGTGAAACATTTTTAAAGTGAATTTTACGTTTTTTTTTTGCTGCAGTTGTTAAGGGAATCACTGCAGTTGGTAAGTTAGTAACAAAGTTGCTAAGTGAATCTGGCTTCCCCCATTGATTTTGCTTGTCAGGAGGTTGCAAAAGGGGATCACGTGACCCTGGGACACTGCAATTGGCATAAATACGAGTCAGTTGCCAGGCATCTGAATTTTGATCACGTGACTATGGAGATACTGCAGTGGTCTTAAGTGTGAAAAATAGTCATTAGTTACTTTTTTTTAGTGCTGTTGTAACTTTCAATGGTCACTAAATGAATTTCACTGTTGTAAGTCGAGGATTACCTGTATTTTGCGGCAGTTAGACCAGCAGGACTTAATGTTATTTTATCCAGAAAAACTGAACCAAGAGGATAATAAATCAAATAGTGGATCATGTGGTTTTTCTGTAATCTAATTTAATGTAAAGACAGCAATATGAAAAACAGGCAATGAGAGGCATGTCTAAAAGGTGTGCCTTTATGTAGAAGACTGACTAGTCTTATATCCTACAGTGAAATGACATACTTTTATGGACTTTTTTTTCTTGCTGTCAGAAAATACATACTATGCTTTTGTAATTGATTGATAACGAGTTACGTGACATAATACAGAGGCACAGAATTGCTTCATACATGCAGGCTCTGTTTTACATAAGTATAGAAAGGCAACAGGTTGTGCTAATTTAATGACAGTAGTTGTCCATTCCTTATTTGCACAATATTTTTGTTTTCAAACAGACCTTTTATGTATACTTCGGTCTGATCAACAAGCCCTGTTGAGCTTTGGATCGTACTGTGCAACCTAAGATAGAGAAGGGCCAGCCACAGCTTACCTCCCACCCCCTAGCACCCTCATATTGCACTGTCGAATTTCAGTAACAAACTGGACTAATTTCAGCAATACAGTTTCAGATCATTTTTTAGGGTTTGGTGTGGCCTTAAGAGTAAGAGTAGTTTGCCTTTGTAAGAACCCCACCCTTATTCCCACTCTTAGTTATCATAGTCCAAAGCCAAAGAATTTAGCTGCAGCTCTTTGGATGGTATCATGGGATTAGTGGATGACCTCGTATACAGTAATCATTCAGAAGATTAGGAGGCTGAATTGTGAACATTCAGCTTCTCTAGCAATGCCTACCTCTAACATGAATGAAAATGGACATATTAGAATTTCATGCCAGAGGCGTCTGGGTAGCATGTTGAGGACAAGACATGACGTATATACATAGGAGATTAAAACAATATGTGCAAGAAATACAGTTCTTGATTGTTGGGACTGCCAGATATTCTTTGTATTACGGCATCTTCCTTCCCAGTACAGCGATTGAGCTATACTTTGACTGATTCATGGCTTGCTGGCTAGGAAGAAACAAGCAAGCATTCCAGGTAGACCATTTTATGCCATCCTTACCTCTGTGACCCATTCCAGTTTTGATATTTAAAAATCTATCTCCTTCCAGTGTTATAGAAGAAGTGCATTCAACCTGCTATGAAATACAGGTACCAGCTACTCTTGTAACACCACACAGTTAGCATGTGCAATATATTTTTCCAAAGGTAAAATAAACTTCTTTTGTTGGGAATTTATCTAGGTCAGCCTTCATTAATCAAATGTCCTCTAGATCTTTTTGAAGACTTTTACTATGTAGGAAAGTTATAATCTTAACTCAAACTCAACTCAACTCATACACCCAACTGACTAAAATGATTCATGATGTCAGCAATCAACACCTCTAATTAATTTTGTCTTAAAATGAAAAATCTCTTCGTTTCTTTAATTTCTGTAGGGCTGGATGAATGAGATCTATAATTATGATCCAGAAACCTATCATGCTACGTTGACTCACTCTATTTTTGTGAGACTCGAAGGAAACATCCTGAGACTTTCAAAACCTAACAAAAATATTTCCAGAAGAGCTTTTTACAATGAAACGAAGCCAGAAGTTACCTACATTAGCCAGAAAATTTATGATCTTACTGATAGTAAGGTGAGTTCAGAATTAATAATTCCTATCTGTAGTGTTTGGATTTCTGTTCTGTGTTGTTTTCATCTGAATTACTACAGTCTGAGTGAAGCAGACAGCTGCTAACTATAAGATCTATGAGCCTTGGACAAGCGAACCCCCCCTTTTTTTTTTAATTCCCAGAGTTATTGGTACTGTTTTTAATGCCAGCCCCATGCCTGCAATAATATCTTAGGTATGACATTTTACATGCTTCTAATATCATCAAAGAATGAGTGAAGTTTTGACTAATATCTGCAACCCTCTCTGGCCCTTTCTGCCATGATCTTTGAATTGTTTGTATAACCAGAACAAGATGGATTAAAACAAACACTGGATAGTACAGTTGATTTTGTAAGATTGCAGGCTTCATGAGGGCCGATGAAATTAAACATACCGATAAAAATTGCGTTGGCTGCTCTTCAAACCACCTTAAGCCTTGTTTTCCGGATTTTTGCAGGAAAGGAAATCTAGTAGCAAAAAAAAAAAAAAAAGTGCTGGGCTGATAGAGGTTTGCCCCACACCAAGTCTTTCCAACTTATCAAAGAAAATAACAAAAGAAGCCCAAATATTAAAGAAGCCCAAATATCATTTGATTCAAAATAACAGCTCCTAGTCCATATTTGATCACTCCTGGATATTGGGCAGGCAGCTTGGCCGACTTTGTTTTGTTTTGATTGTTTCTTTGATTATGGCAATGCATTAGTACTCTGTGTTTTCTTCTCTAATGAGATGAAATGTGAAACTCTCTCACAACTTTGTTTGCAGATTTATTTGGTTCCCAAGAGTTTGGCTCGAAAACGAGTCTGGAATAAAAAGTACCCAATCTGCATTGAGCTTGGGAGACAAGATGATTTCATGGCCAAAGCCCAGGCTGACAAAGAAAGCTCAGAAGAAAAAATCTCTATAGAAAAGGAAAACCTAAGCAGTGAAGAAATCTGGAAACCCGCTCAGGATGGAGCAAAGTCTGGGACCCAGAAGAACCAAGTGCTTTATTTATTTGCAAGGACAGGTCGGGAGAAAGAAGAATGGTTTAGGAGATTCCTTGTCGCCCGCAAATTGAAATCTGAAGAAAAAAAGCCAATTGTCATTTGGGGAAACAAATCAGGTAGGAAACTGTTTGCTTATTCTATTCATACTTTGTGTAATAAGTCAAAATATCAGCTTATTAAATGTTAATTAGGATTAATCTGGAGCCCTGGTGGCACAGTGCTTAGAATGTACTATTGCAGGCAAAAACTTTGCCCACAGCCTGGAATTCAGTCCTGACAGGGCTCAAGGTTGACTCAGCCTTCCATCCTTCCGAGGTGGGTAAAATGAGGACCCAGATTGTTGGGGGCAATAGGCTGACTCTGTAAACCACTTTAGAGAAGGCTTTAAAGCACTGTGAAGCGGTATGTAAGTCTAATTGCTATTGCTGTTGCATCATTGAGAAAGAACACTACTATTCAGTGAGTTCATCAAGATATCTAACCACAATTTGTGTCTAAAGACATTAAATTTTAACAAACTACATTCTAATATCCTGCTTTATATAAGTGGTTGATTTGACTAAACAGAATTAATCTGTCTTTGATTTTTTTTTTCTTGCAGAACAATAATTTAAAATGGTATAAGACTCCCAATATATTTCCAGAAGCAATAGACATACATTTTAGGCAAAAAGTATTTTAAAGGTTGTTTTTTTAAGGGACTTAATTTTACTTTATTAATACTAAATGTGCAGTTATCTTGTTGATTCATAATGACATGATTTCATACATTTTAACGTTATAGGAATATTAAACTTCCTGTCAAAGTTCTCAAGTCTTTAAATGTGATATATAATACAGCAATTAATGATTAATATAATTCTTCATCTCTTAACTACACATCCCCTACCCTCTGTTTTATAATGTTTCTGGAACATTCTTTTCTTGGATTATGGCTCACCAAAAAAATTAAAACTAGTTCTCTAAAGTTAATAAGGGCCTGGAAATTTGACCATAAGCAAACCTTTGAGCATTTAATACAGCAATAATTACAGAGGATATTTAGGGAGATAATATCTCAGTTTTTATTCTTTTTAAAACAACTGAAACGTAGTTCATTAAACACATTGCAGATTGTTCAGACACAATTTACAAAGTCTTTGCCTTTATTTCAAAACAACCTTCAAGTTGTCTGTGTGCAAAATATCTGCACTGTTTATATATAAATGTTTGCCAAGCTTATGGCAAGCTTCTGAAAAGCTGAATTATAGTTCAGAAATGTTTCCTCTTAACCCAGTTTATGAAAAACCCTTTCACAGAAGTGGGAATGATAATTGAATGTGATTCCATTTACTCAGTCTTGTTACACATTTAAATTGAAGCTGGTGGGTGTTGTTGTGTTTGTTTGTCTTTTTATTTGCTGACATTCATAATTCTTGGATTTTTAGCTTTGCTTACTTACATTCAGGTTCTTTTCTAATCTAGAATGCTAGAATGCTTCAGCATATCAGATTTAGTGCAGAGTTTTATATCCTTGGCTGTCTTCTTTCCTCTAAAGTTCTCTGTTCTATTTATTATGATTTATTTTCAAACAGTTTCTTGTAAACATTGCCAAAACGTGTTTTAAATTAAGGATCGATGTCTTTGTATATGGTATTGAAAACGATGTACAACCAGATAGCTTACTTACCATTTGCCATAGAATGGCAGAGGGCGGGGGGGGGNGGGGGGGGGGGGGGGGGGGGGGGGGGGGGAACCTGCGGCCTTCCAGATGTTACTGAACTACAATACAAAATAATTCCTAGCATACTTCACTATTGTCCATGTTGGCTGTGGCTCTGGGAATTCAACAAGTCAAGGCTGCAAAGTGACATCTTGAATAGATTGGTGTGGAATAGTAATGTGTCTACTTGTACATTGAACAGATTAAATCATAGCGTATGTTTACCGCCTTGTCATATTGACAACCTTGGCATCGTCAACTTCTGTTTTTCATTCTGTTTCATTCTTATGTTCCATATTTGATTATGTATTGATGCTTTACCCCTTGTTTTTCCTTTTTATTGTATTCAGGCTTCTTGCCAGGACACAGTAAGACCAATAGCCAGTCTGGGATTCTTACACACAGCCGTAGCAGCAGTAAAGGAAGTGTAGAAGAAATTGTTGCTCAGCCAAAGCTGAAGGACTTGGGTTCCAACATCAGGCAGAAAATACTTTTAGACTATAATGTGTACATGGCAAGGTGCATTCCGCCAGAACATCCAAGCCCTACAGTTAGTCCCATTCATAGTGCTGACAGCAGCCCCACAGCTGTGAAAAAGGTGAAGTATATTCTTTAAATATTCTTGATTGAGGTGCTATGATTTACCCTGTAGTGTAAAGGAGGGGGGGGGCTGTTTTTTGTTCCCAAAGAAGTGTGGGGCTAATAACAGTTCTACAATATGCTCACTTTCTCAACAGTCAACATTATTTTGATGCAGCTTAAAAGATCTCTGAAACACTAGATATTTCATTTAATTCTTACACTTCTAGGACTACCCATCAATAAAATAACTTGACATGTTAGAGGGCAAAATTAAAAATATTGTACAAACTGTTCTTTTTAATAGAAACAGAATTATAACAGTAAGAATTTAAGCTATTGTAAAAAGATGTGTACTCAAGTATTTATTTAAAACACATTATTTTAGGCTGATTAACAGAAATATGTTCTAAATTCTCAGTAATCGTTTTCACGGTACTTAAGTTTCTGGGCCCCACATTTTAAAAATGTTTAGAAAAACTGGAACAGATTCAGAGCAGAACAATGAAAATCACAAGGGATCTAGAAATTATGAAGAAAGATTCTAAGACCTAGCCTTGAGAAAGCAGACAGGTTTGGAATAGGGGAAATATGATTACAATTTTCAAATAGCTGAAAGATGTTGATCAAATGATAAAGAGCCAGTTTGTGTAGTGGCTAAAGGGCTGGATTAGTAATTAGGAGTCTGGAAGTTCTAGCATTCCCTTAAGCATGAAAGGCCGCTGGGTGACTTTGGGCCAGTCACACACATTCAGCATTACCCACCTCACTGGGTAGTTGTTGTGAGGCTTATAGTAGGAAGCATTGCATACACTGTCTTAAATTGTACAAAGTAAAGGGCTGATATAATCAGATCAGTAAATGATAATGAAGACCTGTTCTCTCTCGTTCCAGAATACAGGAGGTAGACTAATGGATTTCAATTACAGGAAGGCAGCTATTATATTGGGAAGTCTTGTTCTGTCAATAAGAGCAGCTTGACAGTGGAACTAATTACCCAGGAAAACTGTAGTTCCCTTTGACTGAATATATTCAAGCAGAGGGTAGAATCATCTTTTGTGGGAATGTGTTGATTTGGCTTCTTGTACTGAGCAGGGTATTGAATTTACCCCCATCCAAATTTAATTCTATGGTGATCACCTTTTGCATGCCCCATAGGCCCATACAGTCTCTTCTGTTTTACTTGAGACTGTCTTGAACCCTGTTTATGAAATGTGACTTACTTACAATCCTTTTCTCTCCTTGTTTATGTGTAATGTCCACTATCAATGCTTGTATATTTCCCATAGTCAGTGGGGTAAAGTTCTTGAGCAGTGAGGTAGAGGGTACATCACCTCAATCTCAGTCCTGTTTTATTTTCCCAGCACAATGGAAATGCAGACCAGGATACCTAAGCAGATGAATGACTTTTTTAGATATTAAAAACATCCTTTCCCCCTACCTGGAAGCTTCAGTTGATGCACACACTTGAAAACCAGGATATACATTTGTAAAAGACTAACACAAGTCCCTTCTATCAACCAGTTAAATAAGCAAAGTTGATATATTTGTTGGAAGATATTGTGGATGCAAACACTTTTCTGTTAACTAATCTAGTACTTATTAACCACATGTCAGCCATGTTATCAAGATTGGCAGAGACATTGGTGTTAAGGCAGCACACAGATATTATCTTGCCTTCCCAGTAACATTCTACTACCTTTTCCTTTATTGTTATAGCAATTCCTATCTGCAGTCAATCTTAAGGTTGCTTTGCCTCCATCCTGAATTAATAACCACCTTTTCTAGGTTTGAAACACAAACTGACTTATCCAGGCTGCTGTGCCTAATCCAGCTCTGATTCTGAGAATCTAATGCTCAGTAAAAAAAAATTCAGTAATACCGTAGAAACACACAAAATCAGCAAGAATTGCACCTTCTTTTGATTCATAGTTGCACTTAAATTTAAACTAACATCCAGAGACCCACATATTTAATCTCTCACAAACAAGGTTCTGCCATGAGCAACTTCCTCAAACAATAACACAACAGGCCCTGTTTGTTGTCTGGAGGCAATGGTTGGATGTCTACGTCTTTATACTTTAATTTGCATAAATAATCTTATATGTCTATACATAAATTTGTATTAGTTCAATAACTTGCATTAGTTGGATCTATCCCCTCTCTTTGTTAGATACATGTCAGTCACAGCTGACTTAACTGTTGCAGCTTTTTCTATTCATTTCAAACCAACCGCCTCAGGCATACATCCTTCCTAAGTGATGGATGGCTTTGATTTATAATTATATACCTTTACAATGGCAATTTCCTCAAAGATTTAGATAGGGAATGCCTTTATGCTCCCCCTGAGATGCAGTGAGGGTCATCTGGTTAAAATAACAAAAAATGGTAATTATTATGGCATTTGTGTTATTGTTAAGCTAAGTGGCCTAGCAATACAAAATGTTCTTGTTATCAGGCAGGAGGACAACCAAGATGCCTTGGGCAACCCCATCCAATTTCTTTGTAAAATTATTTACAAATTTTACAGTTGTAACTATTCCTATGAGGAGACTGAACTGTGTTTATGCCCTTTGCATTTTTTGCAAACCTGAAGGTCTTCTCTGATCAGCATCTGTGCTAGCTTCTGCTAGTTGGGAGCTCAATGATTACTGTAATTTTGCTATCTTAATAAGGCACCCATGTTTGGACTTCTTCAGTCATTTTGACTTATTTTTTAAGGTGAGTGTTTAAGGTGGTGACCAATGTGGCCCTTTGATAGTAACCCTAACCACATATCAGGTTCCAAACATAGTAGTCCCATTGGTAATACCCAAGGCACCTTGAATTGTATTTTTGTTGATAAGGTGCAGTTGCAAACTGGTCTTCATTTTATCGGCAACTGGGAAGTTAGGGATAGTGGGGAATGCATAGATCTTCCCCCTAACTTTCAGATGGCCTGGCCGTGGCCTTCTGCCATTTGTTAGCTATAGACATTTTGCAAAAATGTCCTCTCAATCCCACATAAGACATATTGCTCTTACCCAAAAGTTTTAGGAAAAGCTTC